GTTTCCTCATCTGCACAGTGGGTGTGCTGACACTACTGCCCACCTACAAGGGCCACAACTAGAACTGAGTGTGATAATAACCCAGGTGAGGCACCACCACAGCAGGCACACAGGAATGGTTCCTTTTTTTTTTTTTTCCAAAGAGCTGTTATTGTTATTAATCTTGCAAAAATTACAGACTCTACAATCAAAGCTCTCGTCTGCTGAGCAATTATCCCTCACTTGTGAAGAGCCCTTCACGATCTATGAAGCACTTCCCCATTATCTCCCAAGGAAGGCACAGTCCAGGGAGGTGGTCAGCATGGGGACAATTATCCCCACTTTACAGAGACGACCTAGAGGCTTAGAGAGGCCGATCAGCTTGGCTGCAGCTTTCAGAAGTCACGGAGGTTCCAAGCTCCTGTGCTGTCACCATGGCACTGGCATCACATGGTTTCCCAGGCATCCCTGCCTTGAGGAGACTCACTGTGGCATCTTCAGCCCAGTGGGTGTTCAACCTAATCTGGAAGGACCTTCCATCTACTGTGTGACCACAGGAAAGACACTGCTTCCGGGAAGGAACATAAACCTCTGCTTCTGTGGGCTGCTAGTGCTTGTGAAATGTGAAACAGAGAGGCTGGCCACTGCAGAGCGCTCCCTCTTCGACGGAAGTGGCCATTGCTGCCCTCAGGCTCTGTGGGCCAACAAAGTGCTCTGCACTGCAGAGCCAAATCGTCAGCAACAAAACTAGGGTCCCATCTCCCAGGCCTCACTTTTGTATCATAAACTTCAAGAGTCAAAGTCATTTTTTTTTAAATGACTTTTTATTTGTCATGGTTTTCATTTCCTCAAAGAGAAGGCATATTGTGCTCAGCAAAAATTGATGCATCCCCATAATGATGTACCTACAGATATCTGGCACCAAAAGCTTCATGGAGGAGGACTGCAAGCCTATCTACATAGTATATCAGCCACATGAAGAACAGGAAAATCAATACCTTCTGGGTGTGCATGGAAAATGAATTATTTTAATCAAAATACAAAATAAGTGACTATATGGTTTTAAGACAAAAAGTGTGTCTTGCACAAAAAGGAAAAGTTGTAGCTATCCCAAGTAAATGATGTATTCTTTTTTAATAATGTATTCTTTTAACAACCCCAACACTATATCAGAATAGTTATTAGAGCATCTTTCATGTTCCAAGAACCCGATCAGTCTCCCACCATCCCCTCTATAATTTGTGTATTTCCTAGGCACCAAACCAGCAGTGAGAGGAAGACAGGAAAAGCAGTCCATGCATGTCAGTGCCAGTCACATACCTGGGCTGGCATGTGGAACCCGGGTGACTAAGACCAGCACTTATCCTTGGACCACACTGCAGTCCTAAGCTTACAGTTTCTCATGGCCCCACCTCCCATGGGGCCACAGCTGGAGATCTTGCAGTGGCTCCAGTTCCATGTGACCTGCCCCAGGGAGGTGCTCTCTGATGTCACCTCTTACATTCTTCTGCATGCTGGCTTCTTCACTATTCTCCGCACACACTGTATTAGTTCCTGGGGGTGCTGTAACGGAACTGACAATGAGGGGCTTTAAAACAACAGCAATCTCTTCTCTTGTGGTTTTGGAGGCTGGAATTCCTAGATCCAGATGTTGGTGGAGTCGGGCTCTCTGACGGTGCCAGGGAAGAAGTGTCCCATGCCCTCCTCATAACTTCTGGTGACTGCAGCATTCCTTGGGCAACAGCAACTAGTCAAGGGCTAGGGCTGGGTGGGGGTGGAGAGCAGAGTGAGAGTTTCAGGTGAGAGACATAGCGTTCAAAATGAGATGTGATGATGTTGATGGTAACAACTCCAGGTGCTTACTGAATACTCACTCTTCCAAAAGCCTCTGTTAACTCTGATGCTCTTCATGATCCCCTCAAAGGCAAGAAGTTGTATTTGTTTCCTATGGCTCTGTAACAAATCTCCCCCAAACTCAGTGGTTTGAAACAACACAGAGGGCAGAGACAGACACAGAGAACTTTTAGGGTAATGAGGATACTCTTCGTGACACTGTAATGGAAGACAATATGCTTATGCATTTGTCCAAATTCGTAGACTGACCAACACCAAAAGTGAGCCCTAATGTAAACGACAGCTTCAGGTGACAGCATCAACTGTGACAAATGTTGCTGCTCTGGCGGGAGGTGTTGCTGATGGGAAGAGGTATGTGTGGGGAAGGGGATGGAGATGTGGCAGCAAGAGTCCCCTCTGTGCCTTCCTCTCCATTTCGTTGCAAATCTAACTGCTCTTAAAAAGTCTTTACAGTTAAAAAAAAAAAAAAGTCTCTATAAAAAGACAGAAATGTATGATAATCTTACAATTCTGGAGATCAGCAGTCCAGCATGGGCCTCAGCAGGCTAAAACTGAGGTGTCTGCAGGGCTGGTTCCTTCTCAAGACCCTGGGGTGAATGTTCCCTTGCTTTTCTCAGCTGCCAGAGGCAGCCTGTGATCCTTGGCTCATGGTGCCTTTTCCCTTCTTCACAGGCAGCAGCGCAGCACCTTTCCCTCTTTCAGACTTTGCACAGCCTTCTTGGCCAGCTTCCTCTTCCTTGTCTGGAGCCTATGGGCCCATGGAGCCCACCTGGATGGTTCATGTTGTCTCGCAGCTCCAGACCCTCAGCTGTACCACTCATGCAAAGTCCCTTCTCCCACGCCAGGTGAGGTGTTCACAGGTCTGCGATTAGGATGTGGACATGTTTGGGGCCATTTTTCTGCATTCCATGGTTCTCTTATCCATTTTTCAGATGGGCAACCTGACGTACAAAACAGGGCTATGTTCCCAGGCCTCACAGGGAAATGGCTGAGCTCAGTCAAAGGCACAGCTGGATTCTGGAAGCCACCATTTTCTTCTCTAAGACAGAGGGAAAGTTTGGAGATGTGCAAGCAGATGATGAGGAAACTGCTGAGAGTAAGCAGGGAATGGCCAGCGGGCAGGAGAGAGCTGGATGGAGAGGGTCTGGCTTCCCTTAGACCAGCTCCGTATCTCCAGGGGAGTGTGCAGGACGACTTGCAGCACGGAAATCTGGGGCCTGCAGATCTCAGGAGTCGTGGGCTCACCCTAGGATGCAGGCTGAGCAAAGGCACCTGGACCCTCACAGTCTGCCATGGTCCCTGTGAGCAGCCCAGGGAACTTAGCCTCCACTGGGAGGGACACTGCTGCTCCACTCCAGTTCTAGGAAAAGCTGGTATATTTTGGCCAGAAGTGTGGGGGAGAAAAACTTCAATTATCCTAATTGTTCAAATACTGTCTTCTAGTGGAAAAGAAATGAGAAGTTAAACAAAAGGTGGGTGGTTGTAACAAAGACAGAGAGAGCTGGGGGGAGGCAGGGTAGGAAGAGCACCAGTGGGGAGCTGAGAGGAAGAGAAGGCAGCCAGGAGCCCCTGCAGCAGGGCAGCAGAGGAAGATGGAATCCATGGGGTACTGAAGTTGGGCCCCACAACTGCATCAAGAGTGAATGGGGGGCCAGGGAGGAGCCCCAAGCCAAGAGACAGGATGGCAGCTTGCATTGCTTTTCAGTGGGAACTTAGGTGAGGGCTCCCCCTCTCTGGGTTTCAGTCTCCCCATGTGTATTGGTAAGGGAACAAGAGGGGAAGAATCAGCCTGTCACACAGGTTTTCTGCAGTGCTGAAAACCTCTGACATCACCTGGCCCAGCATGGCTAACAGTGACACTTCCTGCCCACCTGTGAAGCTCTGCAGGCCCGCCCCCATCTGGGAACTGGGTTCCAGGGCTAGCACATACAGTGCTGCCTAGGCTGAGGCCTCAGTTTTAGAGAGGGGAACAACAGTTTCCATGCTGCACGCCCACCTGAAGGGACATAGGCTCACCTTCCAGGTCCCTCGTTCTCCTGGCTCCACCCCCACATTTGCCTCCATTCACCTACTCGGGCAAAGAAAGCCCAAGCATCAATACCCAGCATGGGGCTCCAGATACATACTGTGGGCACTCCTCTTCCTGCCAGGGCTCCATGTTCTCAGACCTGGGAGGCCTAGGCAGCTGGTGGGAGGCAGCCCCTCCCCTAGAGCTGCTTTGGGCTGTGAGGCAAAGAGAATATGAGCTTGGAAAGGAATACCTTGGCCATTTCCCTTGGGTTTAGGGAAAACCTTGAGCCTCTTCTCTGGCATATATGCCCTCTTACCAAATTGTTAAGAGAACCAAATGAGATAGCAAGGAGATGATCCCAGGCAGACTCTGCACAGAAGTGGTATGGCTAGATCATTCCTTGTCTATGACTTACAACTACAGCCTCAGAGGTCCCTCTGGATTTTTGAAGAGAGGTCTCAGATGAATCAAATGTGCCTCCTACTGGAAGCCAGCCACACACTGGAAGGATTATATTTATTCAACTCTCCCATTTAGTCCTCAGAGCAACCTCAAGAAGCAAGAGTGGAGGGCCAGGGATGTAGCTCAGTGGCACTGCACCTGCCTGGCAAGCACAAGGTCCTAAAAGGAGAAGGAGAAGGAGGAGAAGGAGATGGAGATGGAGAAGGAGAAGGAAAAGGAGGAGAAGGTGGAGAAGGAGGAGAAGAGGCTGATGAATTTTTCTTCCACAGATGCAGGATCTGAGGCTCAGAGGACTTATGAGGCTTGCTAAAGACCACACAATATGTAATGATCTGGATTCACACCAAGTCCTGGGAACCCTGAGCAGGGAACACACCTTAAACAGGGAAGGCAGGGTCCAGGAATGTGTTTGGAGAGGCAGAACAGGAGATCCATCCCTGCCAGCCGGAATAGGCAGGGCAGGCAGTAGGACCAGCCTAGGCAAAGATCTGGAAATAAACCTTGAACACATGCTAAGTACAAAAAAGTCATTCACAAAGCACCATATAGTTTGTCAATCCATTTACTGGAAACAGAATAGGTAACTCCAAAGAGGCAGAAGTAGGCTGGTAGTTGCCAGGCGCTAGGGTGATCGAGGCAAAGGAGGAGTGACTGCTACTGCGTAAGGGTTAATGAAAGTCTTCTTGAGGTGATTGTGGTTATAGTTTGCACAACTCTGTGAATATATCAAAAACACTATGTACTTTAAATGGATGTACTATATGATATGTAAATTTACCATCAAGAGTTGTTATACAAAAAAAGATGCAAATGGGTTTAACTTCTGGGTTAACTAAAGGTAACGGGCTTAGTAGTCCGGAGCCTGGGTTCAAATCTTGCTCTACTATTTGCTCTCTGCGTGATTGTATTAGTCACCATCACAATCACTAGACACAATACCTGACACCTGAAATTTAAACAAGCAGAGGTTTATTTTAGCTCATGGTTTTCAGAGGATTCAGTCCATGGTTCGCTGGCTCCATGGCAGGAAGGGTGTGGTGAAAGGGCAGAGAATACAAGTGCTCATCCCGTGGAAGTCAAGGAGCAGAGAGCAAAGGGAGGAGCCAGAGACAAGAACACACCCTCCAGGTCACACCCTCAGTGACTCACCTCCAAAAGGCTGCATGTTCTAACAGCACATTCAACTACTCAACTCATCAGTGGGTGGATACACTGATGAGCATGGTGCCCTTGACCCAGTTACCTTCTAAACACATGGGCTTCTGGGGACATTTTAGACCTAAACCTTAATAGTGATCTTGGGAAAGTTACTTAATTCTGTGCCTCAGTTTCCCTACCCATACAACAGGGATCATAAAATACCTTTTACGATTACAAGGTTTGAGCTAAATGATCTAAACACCCTTACTTCAGAGGCTGGATTCACTAAAAGCTCCAGAAGAGTGTTGCTGTTTGATCTATTATCTGAGGAAATACTAGGCATAAGGCCTGGGGTCCAATTTGCTTGTTGCCTGGATACAGCTGCATACTCTGCTCCACAATGCAGTGGTCTAAAGGCTGCTCGTTTGGAAGAAAGAATCATTCAGTTAATCAACAAGCATTCATCTTAGCCTCTGCCTTGAACATCTCCTCTGGATGCAGAAAAGGATTCTGGATTCTCTTCTAGAGAGCTGAACCAGATGGGAAGTTATGAGGAAGTAGATTCTAAGTCACCATTGTGATCATCGTGTCTTAAGAACAAGTGAGAACATGGACCACTAAAATACCTAGATATAACATCCTCTTTCTTCAGAAGACTGGAAGGAGAAATTTGGACCTTTATCAGATACTTACTTGGTTCATGGTCTCTGATATTTGCTAGTCAAACAAGATGAAGTAGCTTGGCCAAACATATGTAGGGATTTGGCTTCAGGCTGGTTAGCCTCAGCTAATGATGGCCAATTTGGAGGGGTGACCCCAATTTTACATGTCCACATAATGCTCCAAGTCCACTGAGACTGGAGGTCAAGCGGTGACTTACCCTTCATGGCCACATCCATCCTCAGAAAGAACACCTGGCCACTTTGGGGTTCAGAGGATATGGCCAGGTGAGTAGTTCCCTGCACCCAAGAAACAGACTATTCCAGTACTTCCAGGCTTTATGGGTTGTAGTGAGATCAAGAGAGTTGCAACAAGCTATTTCCTGACCTCTTGTCCATTCTTCAGCTAATTCAGGAATCATCTGGAACAATCATTATAATACCTGACCACCTACATGAATGGATGAACAGAGAATGTTTTCTGCAGTAGCAACTGACCTGTCACTGGGGCCATCTACATGGGCAGGCACAGTGGGCACCTCGGGGTTCTGAAGGGAATTCATGCTTGGATGACAATCTGGAAAGTTGTGTGGTTATTTTCTTTGGTTTCTCTCCCCTCAACCAAAGCTCAGTCATCTACAAAAAAATCATAAAGCAATGAGCTGGAAGAGACCTCAAAGACTGTCTGGTCCAGCCCTTACTCTACCAAGGAAAAAACTGATTTCACAGATGAGAAGCTAACTTGCCCAAGGTCACACAGCTATTCAGGGAAGAGCCTGGAGTCTTAAATTGATGTGTTCAATTGGGCCTGAAGTTGGACATTGGCAGCTAGACTCTGCTAAAAAAAAAAAAAATCTGTTTCAAGACTCTGATTCCAACTGTTGCCAAGTGGCTTTTAATCAAAGAAGGATGTGTCTCAAATAGAGAATTTTAGAAAAACTGTATCTTTCCCTTAAGCCCCATTACAAGTAACAATCAGAACAGGCTCTTTGAAAAGTTACAAAGTACAAGATACAACCATAATAACTCACACATGTTTAAAAATATTCCAGGTGGACCCAACAATAAACCAGTTTAATTTCAGCCCTGTTTTACAGATGAGGAGGGTGGATACTAGGAAACCTTTTGAGAAGCAATCACTAGAAGCTGTGGCCGATGCCAAATCTATTACCTGGAACTACTAATACTTTTGCTACTATTCCAGGTGTCCTAAAAGCACACACTATAACTAAATGCATAAATAAAAATTTAAAGGAAGGTAGCTAATTATCTAAGCAGCTGATTGGCTAAAAATGGCTTCCAAATTTCCTTCCTGAGGTCAGAGCCTTCTCTTGCTGGGGTTTGACCAATCCCAAAACACTTGACCTTGTTTTGAAATTGCCCACTTTACGTGGCAACACCTTTCTCTCATTCTCCTTTATACTAAAAGTACATTCATTACTTTTCCAAAGTCTTCCTATTAGATATGCTGTTGCCTTTGGCTTTTTCTCAAAGCAGCCACACCTTACTCTCTGTTCATGTGTGGTGCAAACCACACCTACAAAAGGAGCTTTCCTTTCACCTCTCTACACTGCCCCACAGCCAACACCTCTTACTAACTAGTTTCCAAGGTGTCCTCCACTAGGAGGAAAGGTGGGGTATGTTGTGTGGGTTCCTTCCAGCCACATTCTCTTGCCTGCAGCTCTCCCAGCTCCTTCGTGCACAGTTGATAAGGACACATGCATGCATGTGTGGGCACATACGTAAACACACACACACACACACACACACACACACACACACACATGCCCTGAAAGCTTTATCTTTATGCCTACTTTTGTTCTTACCTCCAACACTGCCCCTCTTGATCAAGGTTACCAAACTGAGTCTAAGTGAGAACCAAGAATAAAATCTTGAAGGTCCCAGATTCTAAGAAACCTTCTGAGTAATAAGCAAAGGAGCAAAGTCCTGTATGAACCTGGAACCAAACACCAATGCTCATCTCCACAGAAACAGAACAATGAAAGAATCTACTTGTATTTAATAGTCATATATTTTTGGAGGTGTTCCAAATTATGTGCCCCTTTGTTTATGAAAAATAGAGATGATTCAGGTTTGTGTTACCATTTTAATAAAGAACAATAATTTTCACAGAGAAGACCAGAAGTGATCAGACAGATGATGAACTAAAATTTCTTTTTGCTCTTCTCTATACCTAAGTTGATTCGAATCATTTAGCCTAAGCAAGCACATTCATCGCTGGGAGCTCCTTAAATTACAAGCAATTTTCTTTCCCTCCAGATGAGATTATAGAAATAAAATATAAAAGGAGCAGCTGTCCTTTACCCACACCCCTAACAGCTCCACCATTCGCCTATCACATTTTCTGTGTCATCTATGTTTTTTGTTGTACATTTTTATTAGTACGTTTGCATTACATACTGATTACATTTATTGTTGGAAGTTGGTACATGTATATGACACCTCTTAAATCTTTTCCTGTCTTCTAACCCTCTCTACTTCTTCCATCTCTTGATTCCTTTCCTATTTCTGTTTTTTCATTTCAATTTTTTCTTTCATCCCCTTTTCCTCCCCTCCCTCTCCCTTCTCTCCATCTGTTGTTCCCCTTTCTATTTGAAAAAGATCTCCCTACTTCCTATTAACTTTTATTTTGTTTTCTTGCAATTGCCTTTCCCACTGAATAGAAGCCCCTCCCATAGCATATAGATACTCTGGTTTAAAACAATCATATTTTCCAAATTGTGACTGCCTCAGGAGTAAGCTAATGAGAACACACATTTCCTTGAAGGCACAGCCTTAGAAGACTTGGGCCAATGAACTATGAAGAAAAGACTGCTGAAATTACTAAAGAGGGTCCATTACGACTACAGTGGGTCTTGCTAATTCTGCCTTGCTGAGTCTCATTTTTAAAAATTACATATATGAGTCTCATTTTTTAAAAATAAATTAAATTATATGTGTGTTTTATATATAGTTAGGTATGTAGTGTGATATACATTTTGCCATTGCATTTATACAAAAATAAATGTATTAATATTACATATAAAAATATTTTCTCCAACCTACAAGATCTTTTCTTCTTATTTTGACATACAGTAAATCATAACATTTTTGAGGATCTTAAAAGTACCCATGATGCTCATGGCTAAGTTGGCCCTATCACATCCCAGGATTGAGTTGACCTGAATCTTACATTCCCCAGGGTTTCTCACGGTGAGCTCATCAGTTTCCTCATGGTCTGCACCATTCATAGTGGCTTTGCTATTACCACAGCCAAGATATTCCAGATACCTCCAAATAACAGATGTGCTAGAGCCCTGGGGAGAAGCACCCAGAGAAGCTGGATGGGTCCAAGGCTGAACTCAGCCAGACCTTGGCTTACTCCCCTCACCCAAATCTTTCCAGGTCTTAGTTCTTTGCATCTGTCAAATGGACACCATCTCATGGGCAAGATGACTCTGAGTCTGGTAGGGAGGGGTGTTCACTATGTGGCGGTACTTACCGCCATAATCCTGCTTTGGGCATGACTGAGGCTGGGTCTGGATACCTGGCAATGGGCAATGGCTCAAGCATCGCAGCAGTGCAGGACCTTGAGCACTGACCTGCACACCCACCAAGGCAGGCCAGACTTAATTTTCACTTCTTTTGAGTTTTATTTCTTTGGCTCAGCAGCAAAAAGGTCAAAACACAGTCAACCAAAAGAGAAAACAGAAGCAAAGGGGATTTTTTTTTTTTCAAAACTGAAAGACTATTGGGAGTTGGGGAAATAAATTTTCAAGGCAGCAAAGATCATATAATAAAGGGAAAGGCATCCTAGTCCTGTCTATGATTAATTTATTTCAAGCCCCCGGGAAGCTTTTTTACCTCTTGGGTCTCAGGTTTCAATCTGTAAAACATTTAAAAAGGAGAGTTGAATAAGAGGACTCTTAAGCGGTCAGTAACCCACATGTGGCGAGCAGCTACCATCAGAGAGAGGATTGATACAAAACAGCTTCCCCCCAGAACATTCTATGGCACAGCATTATGGCAGAATAAGGAATATACCACAACATGCTATATTAATTTTTAAAAACCTATCCTGATAGCCCAGATCAAACTGAGTGGATTCCCAACTCATAAACCCATGAATCCCAGTTGTATATTTATACACTTAAGGAAAGGCTCAAAGCAAAGAGTCTCAAAAGCTGGATTCAAGCCTTCACTATCACACTTCCTAATTGTAGAACCCTGGAAAAGACAACTAACCTCCCTCAGCCTCACGTGCATCATATATAAATGAGAATAAAGTTTCTATCCCATGAGGTAGCTGTTATGACCATTAGTTGACATATGCATTCAACTAATACTTGCTGAGTAATTACTAGATGACCACAGCTTCTTATTCAACATGTTGGGGACAAACTAGACAACAGAACAGACATATACTCCTGCCCTCATAGAGCTAACATTCTAAAAGACCTTAGCAAACACCAGCTACTCATCCTGAAGACAATATTAACAGTCAGACCAATGCTGATTCATGTTTGTCACTTTTGGAGACCAGATCCATTTCCCAATAATTTCAATTTTAAAATAATGAAGTCCTCTAACTTATCTCCTTCCCAAATATAAGTTTCAACTAAGAATTCTTTCAACTGGCATACTGCTTTGGATGACATCATAAAACCAAAGACTTCCTAAGACCTTTGAATCCAGTTCAAGAAAAAAATCTGATTTCAGCAGCTTTTAGACCAAACTTTAGAAAAAATTAATTATGCATGCATTCAACTAGCAATGAGCAAACTTGATAATTTAGGCAGTTTAGCAATTGGATTGAAATTTTACAGCTAATTTGAAGTACTCCACACCACTGACTTCAGACTTGAGGTTATGAAGCAGAATTAGCCTGGATAAGAGCAATTACTCAGCACTTTCAGCACAAACTGCCTTGACTGGCTTTTAGAAGAAGAGACTGCCCACCCCCAACCTTGACTCTTGGACACCCAGGGGTACATATATGCTAACCTGGGTTTATTCCACATTCTGTTAAGCAAGACTGGGTCTCATTATCCTTGTCTCTTCCAGCTTATCAAAAGTCACAGCATCTGTAGAAATCAGTAAAGTAAGGATCCCAGTGAATTACAGCTGTGACTCTAGGTAAGAAAACTCTGTAACCTTGCTGGGCCCCAGTTTCTTTCTATGCAAAATGGAAGCAATCTTCAAGATACTTGCAAAGAAATAGAGGTAATATACGTAAAATACTGACACACAATAAGTTCACTTAATTTAGCTTTTAGGCTTACTCAGTACTTTAAAAATATGACACCAAAACTCTTAGATACATTTCCCTTTGAGAAGTGGATCCATATCCCTTCCTCCTGTATTGGAGCAGACTGGTGATTCCTCTGATCAGTAGAGTAGGGTGGGAGTGGTGCTTTGCAACCTCTAACTTTCCCTAAAAGTTGTACACCTGCTACCTGGCTGTCTGGAACACACACTCTCAGAATAGTCTCCTGGAGTGTTCCCTCCCAAAACCTGACCATATTCTGCGAGAAGCCAAACAGCAAGCACAGCCTGCATTTAGGTCTTCTAGTCAACCATCTCAGCCTTTGAGTCAACCCCGCCTATCAGCTCTTCCCCTGAGGGCCCAGTCTTCA